AGACTGATTAGTGTCTTGGCCCTTACATTGTGCTAAGAAAATGGGGTAACTGTCCCAAAATCTAACAAGTAGTAACTGGGTTAATTGAATATGGTACAAACTAGAGGATAATGGTTTATTTGCTTTTTAAAATTCAAAAATTTTGCATCTGAACATCTTTGTTTGTAACCCATCCTTATAAATTCTAGGGCCAGATTCTGCTCTTGGTACATTGGTGTAGTTTTGGAGTAACTCCACTTTCACCTAGATTTATAGTGATGTAACTGAGAGAAAAGTTTGGTCCATAGAGTGCTCTGGGGAAAAAAAATCTAAAAAGTTAGGGAGGGAGGTTTAGAACATGGCTTTAACCCAGTTTGATATCAGAGGCTTGGTCAACACTGCAGAGTTGGGGGGCAGTAGCCAGTGTTGCAGTAGGACTGGTGCAGCTCCATGGGTGTCGGACCAGCTGATCAATGGATACTCACTGTCTCTGAAAATCCAGCTGTTATCTTTCAGTTAACATATAGGATGGAGAATTTAACCCCCCATTATTTAATTTGTATCGAAAGCAGCTTATTGACGTAAGCTGTGGATGTGGAAGAAAAATGCAAAAAATATTTAGTTTTGGCTGCTCCTTTTTCCTATCAGTTTTAACCAGCTTTGCCCCTGAATTTCATTTGAAGTGTGTTTAAACATAGCTCTCAAACTGAGATGAATGGCCAGTGGTTAGAGACATGTCTTGAGAATGGACTCTACTCTTTCCAAAGCAGGTACCGAGTGTTCCTTGATAACTGAATGAATACAGGTGACAATATTGAGTTGAATTGTGGGTGTTCTATACCAGCACTTAAACTCTAATAAAATGCATGAACCATCTCAATCCCTCCTGGATGCTGGGGTAGCGTGGGGAGGTGTATCGGAAATTAAAATGACTACTACTGTATGAAGTACCAGGTATAACCAACATGACAATCCACTAGATCAGCGGTTCTCTAACTCTTCGATAATGTGAGCCCATGTTACAACAGAAAAAGCATGTTGAGACCCTCTCCCCTTTACCCATAAAGGAAGGGAAGTGGTTGTCACCCGCCTGGACCTGACCGTGGTCCCTAGGTTGAGAACTCATGCAGTAGACTAGAGGAAGTTACACACTAAGGAAATAAAAGAAGAAAATCTTAATGTATAACTGAAGCAGTTACATTTTTACACCTGGGTTTATTCAGTGTATTAGCTGTGTTCCAGTTTCTGATGCTGTTTGCTTGATATCCAGGATGCTGTGGCATGCAATTTGATATAATGTCCTATCAATGTGTTTCTTCCCTTACTCTTGTTTTATTAAAAAAAATTAAATTAAAAAAATAACCACCCAGAACACCTTCCCTCAGTTGCATAAACTCCTTATCTGCGTATACTCTTGCTTATCTGACCTTAATTGCTCTCCTGCTTTCCACGCTCTGCTCTCGGTTTTGGATCAGTGAATTTCGTCGTTTTGCTGAACGCTTTTTTTTCCAGGTCACTGATTTATAAGGTTAACAAAATGAGCCCTGCTGATTCTTGCTATGTTGCACCACTCGCCTCACTCTGTCCTGAACTGCTCAATTGCCCTTTGTCTTCAATTTCCAGGGCATTTACTGAACCCATAGATTAGCTTTTCTGTGCAGGAAGCAGTCTTGTACTGTCCAAAAATGTATTCATGGGTGTATTCTTTTTACTTATAGCCCATTTTGTTAGGGTTATTCAAACATTCTATTACTGATTTGCCTTTTGACAAGCCCTTTTCGATTTCTGCAAACAGTCATCCTGGTGCTACAAAAGCACACTCAGTATATTTCCTGCCACCAACTTACTCCCTTAATTATCTGTACTTTCAAGTAATAATGATAGTTCCCTACCCAAACTTCCTGCAAGAGCTATCTCTGTTACTCCCAAACCTTCTATTCTCTTCAATTTGTCCTGAGCGATTAGCATTTCCCAATATTTTTCAGCATTGACTTTCACTTTCCTACCCTTTGTGTTTAAGCTTTGAAATTATTTGACTTCTTTGTCACCCTTCTTGCATTGTTTTAAAGAAGATAACAGATTATTTCCTGGGGTTTGCCTTCTTTTTTTGCAATTCTTTTTTCTTGATACCATTTTTTATTTTTCTCAGTAATTGATCTCTTTCATGCATAGGCCAGTCCTTCACCCTATCCATTTACTTATTCCTTTTCAACTCAGATTAGCCCAGTTCCCACTTTCCTTTACATGATGGATTCCACACCCCAACCAGTGCTTGGTCTGATCACTTTTGTGTGGGCTCCGTCATACCACTGTAGAGGCTGTGGTGTACTGGGGAGAGTGAGGAGGTGCACAGCTGAAGCAGTGGTGCTACCAGGCATATATCTCCACAGTTGTTTGGGGGTGAATGGAGGCTGGAGTATATCACAGGTGTAAGTACTTCTACCTTAGCAAAGTCCTGCCTGTACCTTCACCCTACCCCCATGTCCCTTTCTCTGGGGCATCTAGTGCTGCCAGTCCTTGCTCCCCTATTACCTGCAGGCAAATTCTGGCCAACTCCAGTGGAAGTGTGATGGAGTATGGGGGGAGAGAGAGGCTCCCTATATCCACTCCCCTCACTCACTGCACCTGGGTTAGCATGTTCCACAATGTATTATGTACAAAAGGGACACAAATGAATATCAAACATCATCAGCTATCTTCATGATCTGAACTTCCCTCTTCACATAGCAATTGCAGAGGGCAGCACAGTTCTCTGACGCCACCATGGGGCAGAGACCTGTCTTGTAGCTCAGTGATGCAAATCAAATGCCTCCTTTCCAAGGAACTGTGCAACCTTTTGTGGGGTATGTTAACAGCCAGGAACTAGTCCTGTACCTTCTGGCAATTTTTCAAATTGATATTATCTCAGGAATAAGCAGTAAAACTGCAGTACTTGAGAACAATAGCTGCCTCACAAACTAAGTAGAGCCACCTTGTTAAGACTGACTGAAGATAAGATTTTGGCATTAGCACACTTAGCAGGAACACAAAGGACACCTTTTCTAATTCAAAGGTTCCACAGTTCACTTGTAAATACACCATCAAAGCCTTTCTTTAAAAAAAAACGGGGGAGGGCACTACCTGGGAAGGTACTTGCTAATAGAACTTGGATTGACTAGATCACTTTTAAGGGTCCTTGTCCTCACCTTAGAGGATCCCAACTCCTTTTATAAATATTAATTCAGTTAGCATCACAGCCCACCTGCTCTGAGTTAGATATGAGCCCATGTACCGGTGGAGACACTGAAGATCAGAGAGGTGAGCTGACTTGCCTAAGGCAACGCAGCAAATTGGTGTCAGAAACAAGAAGAGAACCCAGGCATCCTAATTCTGGATCCCCTCCCCTTTAGCCATTACACAAGTATTTCCCATACTCAGGGTATAACGAAGTGCTTATAAAAACAGTGAGCAAATCCGCAGGTGAGAAGATGGAGAACAGAGGGAAAGAAATGGAACAGAATTTGATTTTATGTAAACTCTTTCAAAATACTTCAGGGCTCTAGTATAGTAGTAAGTTAAATGCTAGTAGTGCAGTGAATCGGAAGGTGGGAAAGGTAGTAGCCAGTATGCACTAAGCAGTGAGTTCACACAGCTTTGAATGGCAGAACCTGCTCTGAGGGGCACTGACAGCCAGCGGTAGTTTTAGCCTATTGTTTGCGTTGTCGCTGAAGAATGCCAGTGGGAACTTCGGTGACTATCTAGGTAGAGATTAAAAATGGGCAAAAAGGACCTTATTTTAATGCCTTGTCTGAAAGATGGCACCTCTCCTGAGCTAGAAGACCTTAGTACTGCACTGCGCCATCAACAATGTATTGGGAACATAGCACCTTTTAAGTCATGTAATGTCCTCCCTCACACAGTACCTTGTATCTGTTGTTAGTATCTGCAGGTTTCCACCAAGGCAACATCAGCTATTATGTTCCTGGTGAATACTGTTTGCTAAAATTGACGTCCTTTTAATAGTAGTAATAATTATGGAGTCTGGTTCATTGAGAAGGGTATTGGAGTAAGAATGTTTCCAATCTGGAGAACAAATAGGTTTCCTTTTAAGTACTAATATGCATTAGAGCAGGGGTCTCAAACTCAAATGACCATGAGGGCCACATGAGGACTAGTACATTGGCCGAGGGCCATATTACTGACACCTCCCCCCGCCACCCTTGGCCCCGCCCCCACTCCACCCCTTCCATGAGGCCCTGCCCCCATTCCACCCCCTTCCCTGAAATCCCCACCCCAACTCTGCCCCCTTCCTGCCCCCAGGGAGGGCAGGAGGGGTGTGGGGTGTGGTGCTCAGAGCAGGGAGTTGGGGTGTGGGGTGCAGGAGGGGGTTGGGCTGCAGGAGGGATGCAGGGGACAGCAGGGGGTTGGGCTGCAGGAGGGGCTCGGGGGGTGGGCTCCGGCCTGACATGCACCGGGGGCAGGGCAGGCCACCTGCCTGCCTGTCCCCACACCGCTCCGGGAAGTGTCTGGAACCTGGGGGAGGAGGGGCACAGGGGTCTGTGTCTTGCTGTTGCTTCAGGCACCACCCCCAGCAGCTCCCATTGGCCAGGAACGGGGAACTGTGGCCAATGGGAGCTGCTGGGGGCGCTGCCTGAAGCAAGAACAACACACAGAGCCCAGTGCCCCCGCTTCCCCACGTTCCGGCCGCTTCCTGGAGCGCGTTGGGCTGGAGCCGCTCTAGGTAAACGCTGGGGGGGGGGCATGAGGAGCTCGCGGGCCACAGAAAACAACCCCGCGGGCCGCATGCGGCCCCCGGGCCACGTGTTTGAGACCCTTGCATTACAGTAACAGCATTTCACTTGGTTCAGTCTCCTGGTAAACTGAATGCTGTATGGCTGTGAAAAAAGAGAAAAGCACTTTTTTGTCTTGAGCATTTCCATCTTTGAAACAAACAGCATTGAGATGGGAGTGATGGGGGAAGGTCAGACAGATTACAAAGGGGAGTGGATTTGGCAAACATCTGCACATAAAATAATCCTTCATAAGAATAACATACTGCATTTAAATGATTCGGCAATGCTCTCTACTGTAAGATATACACTTGTGTAATTCAAATATGCGAAGCCACTTTTATTGTAGTTCAGGCTCTTTCCTTTTAAATTACACGATGAAGTACACTTTAGTATTGGGCCTAATAAGTAGTTAATCTTTCAATGTACCAGCAAAAATAAACCATCCATGCAGCACTTGGCTTTTAACTCATCATAAGAGAAAAGTTAAGGCCAGCAGTTAACGTAACCAAATGAAGCTGTGTTCTTCACACTGTGTACATTTTGACTGGCTTGTATAAAGGATGGAGGAGTCCGTGGCTCTCCCTGACAGTCTCCCAATATTCTTGAGGTGGCTGAAGGAAACAGGACCTGCAGCATATTCGACCACAGCTTGACTCGGAATCGGAAGGAGAGGGATTTTTGTCAGACAGAGGAGAAAAATCAAAGTCAGCTACCTGAAAAGCAACATCAAAGAGGAGGAGGTCACTTCCAAATTTAGGGCTACTCTAGCAAGTGAAAAATCAGAAATGGAACCAGAGTCAGTTTCTCTCTTAACAGGCCTATTATTTGTATTGTGGTACTGTCCAAAATGTTAGTTGCTTTCTAAATATCTAGGAAGATCTGGTCTCTGACCCTAGTAGCGTGCATATTAATTATAGACATGACACAAGGGAAAACTCCACTAGGTGAAGAAAATAGGAGGGTGGGTGGATGAAGGTTACAAAATACGCTCATATGATTACTTAGTACCATTCTACCTAATACCCTGTCCTATCTCACTATCCAACCTCCTTTCCCACTACCACACCTTCCTTCTTTCCATACACACATGGTTACCCAGGATATGTCCTTCTGTGAACACTCCCCCCGCACCTCCCCCGGGCAATCAGTCCCCTCCGCCAGAACAAGAAAATATTGGAGAATATTAATGGAAATTCAATTTTAAATTGATTTCCCACTAGAATTTGCACTACAGCCTGAATCAATGAGTTACCTTCATCCAATAAGGACACAGAGCCATGCCACATGATTTAAATGACCGCTTACACAGCTCAAATTTCTAATAGTGAATTCATGCAACAAACTGCTGTGAAATGAACTACAGACCGAGAATAATTTGGTGAAACTATTCAGTGAATAATTTCAAATATATCTGAGAAAATCACCCTCTGTTTGTGGGCAATCTGCAAACAGGAAAAAAAGAAACAACAAAAAAAGGGGTGGGGTAGAAATTCATCCAGTGACTTATTCTGAATTATTTGCCCCGTGCAAAGCAACGCTACCCCTGTACCTCCACAAGATCCTTCTGCTGTGAGCTGCTTCGGAAGGTCGTGTATATAACAAATCCCAGCATCACTGAAATCAGAGCAATACATGGCAAGGCAAAGAAAGCCGGGTGAATACCTGGGGAAAGAAGGAATGTGTCCAGTATAATATAATGCACTGAGATCGGGCCATTCTAGGTGAAGAAACTTTAAGACTGGGTAGAATGAAAGAGTAACATGCACTTGGGGCACAGGTTATTCTCCCCAAAACACTATTTTAAAAGAAAGCAAATTGCCCAGCTGTATTTGAATAATTGTGGTGTATGCTAGATTGTTTTCAATTCTTTTAAACCAGCCTTCACTTTGCCAAATATACTTCCTCTTCCTCCCTCCTCAATCATGTGGCATTTTAAGCATACTTTGTGACTACACCGGGGATACAAACAATCCTTGAAGCTGCTCTAAAGTAGGTACCTGAGGATTTCCCAGGCTACTCCCTGAACCTGCCCTAAGTTATGCCAAGAGTTGAATCAGTCCTTTGCCGACCCTAAGAGTGCAGAAGCAGGAGACAGAAAAGTTGAAATAAAGTCCCCTGGGTCTCTTCTCACCTCCAGGTGTGCAAAGCATTGAGCCCAGAGAAATGGAGGAAAAGAGAATACACAGGATAATCAGAAAAGCCAAATGCTAAGGCAGGGAGAGATTCCACCCAGCAAGCCTGCTTTGTAAATCTATTCTACCTATTCTGTCTCCTAGTGAAGTAAAGCAGATGACATCAGAACAAACTTCACACATGGCTGGTAAATCTTAACGCAGTTGCCTGGATTCTGAACTGGCCATGGCATTCAACACCTTTAACCTCTAGGCCACTGGTTCAAATCCAGCCTAAATTTTGTAGCAACCAAAAGTAATTCCCATCTGCTGGCTGTCCAGCAGGTTCAGTGAAATGAGGTATCGGTCTCAGTCACAGGTCTATTCGACAGGTGCTCGCATCGTTACAGCTGGCACTTTTGCTGGCTAGCTCAGGCCAATGACTGAGGACCAGAATGGGGCAAGCCCTTATGAGAGAACAGGGTGGTGGCGTGGGAGGTTGTAAAGGTCCTTTCCTTTTCCCCTAGTATGGACTGCACAAAGGCCAGGTGCATAGACAGCTCCTGAGTGTTTGTGTGCATGCTCTTGAAGTGGGCAGGAAAGGGGTGTGGCCAGGGCCCCCTTCATAAGCTTGGGGGCTGGGGGGGATGGGTTGGCGTTGCAGCCCCCAGTGTAAGCCAGTGTCTTAAAGGCCATGGAAATTGAACTGCCCTCTTACCCCTTCTCCTGAGAATTTTTAGGCATTTTCTCACCATTGCTCCAGCAAGCTGCCCTGGCCATGTTCTCTTCCTCACCTGGCACTGACCATTTGCTCAGTGCTGGCCCCTTACAGATCTCTGAAAACTGGTTTCAGTTCTGGTTGCCCTGTCTCAAAAAGTGTATACCAGAGATTGATGGGGTGGGGGTTGGAGGGGCAGAAATTGGCAACTAGAATAATTACAGACCTGGAAAGACTTCCCTATAAAGAGAGAGACTGAATGCTCTAATAAATTTGTTAGTCTCTAAGGTGCCACAAGTCCTCCTGTTCTTCTTTTTGCGGATACAGACTAACACGGCTGCTACTCTGAAAAGACTGGGACTGCTTATTTTAAGGAAGAGGTTAATACGAGGGGACGTGAGAATTTGTATGTCCTGTTTAGCCTCTCACAATGCATGAGCTAGAGGCCACTTGTGAAATTTAAAGGCAGCAAATTTAAAACTGATAAAAATACATTTTGTACACAAGTCAGTCATCCTATGGAACTCTCCAGGTACCACTGAGACTTAGTAGGATTTTAAAAAGGAGTAGAACATCAGTTATATGAGAGAGGAAATTTAAACAAAACAAAACAAAAAAAAGAGCATATAACCTTCATGCTTCAGGACATAAGCCAACTTCTAGCTGATCAGGGTTAGGAAGAAACCATCTCTGGGCTGGTTATTCCATAACTGTCCACTAAAAAACTTTTTGCACTGTCCTCTGAAGCTTTTGGTAGTGGCTACTGTCAAAGGCACATCTAGTCATCTGAGCCAACATGGCAGTTCCTCTGTATCTCGAGTCTCACCTGTTGGCCACACTTTAATCTCATGGTACGTCTGCAACATGTTCACACCATTCTCCACTCTCACGCTGAGACAGTATTGTCCTGCATTACGAAAGGTATGGCTCAAATTGTAGGAGGAGCCATTAATCACCACTAGATGGCACATTTCCCCTTCCAGTGGAATACATTCAGCCTTTATGAGCCAGCATAAGGTGAGTGGAGGGCTGAAATGAAAAGGAAAAAATTCAGCAGAGGCTTGTAAAAAATTTTTTGAAATAGGAATGCATGAATCACATAGATTAAATAGCACAGGAACTTTGAAAACATTGACGGTTGGTGTAAGTATATACATATTTATATAAATATAAACAAGGTGAACAAATATAAATATAATATAAAATAGAATATAAATATAAGTAGTAATATTGCACCGAACTAATGCTAGAACTATAACTGTACACACATTTATCTATTGAACACTTCTTCATAACACTTACATAGCCATGGATATTTGATATAGACCTGACAGCCAAATGCCTGAGAGGCTAGTGGAGCAGACAGCTTTGTGTACAGAATGTGAATGACAGTTTCTGATTGCCTAGGCAAGAACAGCAGTACACACATGGATTGTGTCACAATTTAGGACTTACAATTATAATGGCTCAGCCTACCTTTTGTTGGGAATAGTGGACCAAAGTCTCAGCGGGCATAAATCAGTGTTGTTCCCTTGGCTTCAGTGGAACTATACTGATTTACATCATTTGAAAATGTCCTAATACTTGCTATGATTTTTCCCCAGTTCTGTTAGTACATTGACGAATCCTCATTTCTGCAATAGCATGGATTATTTCTTCTGCCAAAACATTGCTGCAGCAGGGGGTGGGGGTGGTCAGGGGTTGATGGAATAATTTTCAGTGTATGGGTTTTTGGCAAACATTGACTGTTTGTCTTTTGTGTTGTGGCACTGATCACCTAAATCATGTGGTATTGTTTTTGTGATGCTGGTAGACCAGGTGCCAGCTTTTGCCAAGTCTGTAGGCGTCAGCTGAGCACTGACAGATTCAGAGCTGCAGACCAGATGTAGCTCACCTGGATGTTAGTGTTGTTTAAGTTAGGTGTTAGACTTGTAAGGATGGGTTTAGTGTTTAAACACTATAAAATGCTTGTAAATTGCTGCATGCATTAATGCTACTTGTAGTGTCTGCATCCCGTGCTATAAAGGTAAATTATAAGTTTTGCTTTATAATTGTAAAAATGCCTACTCTGAACTTGTAAACTCAGGCAGGAGGAGCGATTACCCCCGCTCATGAAGGAGAACTATCAAGACTAAGGCTGTGTCTACACTGCCACTTTCAGCGCTAAAACTTTAGTCGTTCAGGGCTGTGAAAAAACACCCCCTTGAGCGACAAAAGTTTTAGCACTGAAAAGCGCCAGTGTAGATAGCGCTTTATTGCTGGGAGTTGCACTCCTGGCGATTAAACTTAACCACTGATTGTTTTGAGTGGTAAAAAGCAGAGATCGCCAAGGTCAACCTGGTTTAGCCCTAAAAGACATTCAGTGGACAGATTACTACATCTCTGTCACCTTTGGAAACCACAGACTGTAACTCATTTGTGCCTATATGTTGCCTGCTTTAACCTGTAAATAACTCTCTCATTTCTTTTCCTTACTTAATAAATCCTTAGTTAGTTTACTATAGGATTGGCTACAAATGTTGTCTTTGGTGTGAGATCTGAGGTAGAAATTGACCTGGGGTAAGTGGTGTCTTGCGACTGGAAGCAACCTGAATATTTTGTGATCTTTGGTGTAAGTGACCATTTATCACTAAGTCCAGCTTGCCTGGGTGGCAAGATAGACTGAAGTGTCCAAGGGGCCTGCCTGCGTCTTCATGGTAAGACTGGTATGGTGCTTCAGGAGTTCACATTTGTTACTAGATTGGTGAAATCTAATTATAGAACATACCACAAGTTTGGGGTGTCTGCCCTGCTTTTTGACAGTCTGCCCTGGGGTTGACACTCATGATTGTGAATCATTCCACAGAGTGACAGTTTTTGCTTGGTTGACTGTAAATTTTGAGACAGGATAATAAGTAAACTTCTGTTACCATTTTTTTGGATGAATAATTATTTGGGCTAAAATTTGTGAATTCACAAATGTTTCCCTGAATACCGGGCAGCTGTCTGAATGGACATGAATAATATGATACCATTATTAATAGAAAACTAAACTTTGATTCCTTTATTTCTTTATGAAAATTTGTTATAATCAGGTTGCTTTGTTTGTTTGTGTTTGTTTGTAAGTCAGTTCCATTTACCATTATGAAATGCTGTAAACATCTAAGAAATATATTTAAAAAATTGAAAACCACCAGGACTCCTAAAGTATTTGGTGTTGGCCACATTCAGAGATGGGATACTGGACTAGAGTGACCTTGGGTGTGATCCCATCTGGAAATTCCTATGTTCCTAACTTTTAGTCATAATTCAACCCTAGCACTGACGTCAGAGAATGGAATTCATATGTAAACATTCTGCACACAAACAGAAGTGGATGTCTATTATCATTTTCATCAGTTTCACGGTATGCTACATTACCAGCCTTTCCTTGATCATCTTCATCATCACATTCCACAGCCAAGACTGAAAAGGAATCCCCTCTAGATATTGGAGGGGAAAAACTTGTTCCACAGCCTGAAGATATACCTCAGGGTTCAATCCTGCATTCCTTCTTATCCAAAACACCCATTCATTTTGGAAGCTTTGGGTCTTTTGGCCTGTATGGTTTTATCAGAGTTTACAAACTAAGCAGGACCCAGGAAGCACTCGGATAGGAAACCTTCAAAGGAAACCCAAGATGCTGCAAGAAGTGGTGTTGGCAATGCATAATAGGTACATGTCTCCTTGAACAATCTCCAGGGGTACTGCCTTTTGAATTAAATGTGAAACTCAGGTCCTAACCGCCTGTGGTGATTAACAATCTCATGTGGTTTTTAACAAAAGTAGGGGTATTAATCGTAGAGCCCTGGCCAAATTGCATCTTGCTGGATTACATTCTGCATACCTAGATGCTCCTGAAGTTTTATCTAGACAGAAACTGTCTTCATGTTATATAGGAAGTGAAAACTGTTACTGTCTCCAGATAAAACTACAGGAGCAGCTAGGAATATAGAATGTAATCAGGTTCCAGTCCTTTGTGCGCCAGTCCTTTGAGGTGCTGAGTGCCCTCAACTACCACTGATTTGCACGGGATGCTTAGCATCTCATGGGATTAGGTCCTTAAATACCTGCTTTATTCCACCCCACATGTAGCTGGATTTCAGTGGCAAGTGAAAGAATCCTCACAAGGGTATATATGGTTTATAAAGTGCTTTAGGAACAGTTGGCATGAAAGGTGCTGAAAAGGTAAAATGATATTATAAAAATGTGTCTCTCTATTTTTCATCCCTTCCTCAACTAGGGCAAGCAGAAATGGACTTCATTCCCAGAGGTCAGAAAATGTTATTTTTCTTGTTCCTTTGACAATGAGAGAGGTCAATGTCTGTGATTCTGTGACACACCCAGGATTTTCATGTATGTTCTCTGCTCATAAAAAGCCTATAAAAGAGCATCAGATGAGCTTAACACAACTGTTTGGATTAAAGACTTGGCAAAAGGTAAATAAAGCGTGTAAATCACAGCATCATCTTAAAGCAATGTCAGAAAGCTCTTTATTTGCTAGAAATACATCAAGGTACACCACCATTTCCACAATGTTTTGGCCATATAGCTTTTTGCTGTTTTGCTTGTGCTCTTTATTTACATTTTTCAGACCTTTGCTCTACATGTTTCTGCAGAGGCTCATCTGCTGCTCTCTGGACTTTGATTCTGGTGATAAACTTATCCTTTCTTGATCCTTTTATCAGCATCCCATTCCTCCAACCCTGCAGCACAGTCATTGCTGAGCGAATAAGTCAGTTTGTGCTTGGCTCACTTTGAGTTCTGCTTCTGACATAAAAATCCCATCCCTCAGGCCAGATTTTAATTAGACCAGTTTATTTATCATTCAGTGCTGCTTTGTATCACCAATATTCTTTTTAATATGTTGGTGCTATTTCTTCCGCTAGAGTTTAGGGTGTGGTTGGGTTGTTCATTCTAAAACTGAACTGTTTCAGGGGTCTAAAATTCACCTGCCAAACATTTTTTACAATTTATGTTAATTTGCATGCAATCTAGGCCCTGCGCCTGCAAATGTGTAAGCTCATGAGAAGTCTTGCTTGGTTCAACAGAGGATGACTTCTGTCCAGGCAAATTACTAGCAATGTCCTGGTGTCACAAAGTTTGGGCACCTGGCAGGAGCCTTATGTACACCTGTACAGATATTATTGTCCTCCAGGGATAGCTTAGTGGTTTGAGCATTAGCCTGCTAAACTTAGGGTTGTGAGTTCAATCCTTCAGGGGATGATTTAGGGCAAAAATCTGTCTGGGGATTGATCCTGCTTTCAGTAAGGGGGCTGGACTAGATGACCTCCTGAGGTCCCTTCCAACCCTGATATTCTATGATTTGCAATGCACACAGCAAGACTGTATCAACCCAGCCAGCTCTCACAGGCAGGCCTGGCAAGCCTCACTCACTTGGAGGAAGACTCATTGCTGTGGGATAAATTTTAAGCCAGAGTTTGTTCAGTCTCTCTCTCTGCTGATGAAGGATTCTGTTAAGTTTTCCAACAAGACATTGCAAAACTCCTTCCCTATCTGAAAAGATTTCCTTCACTCAGACTGTCACACAGCTTGACAGAGCGTCTGCAAAGCTAAACTTGGGTGTGCCGCTCTCATGTTCTTACATTTGAACCTTTAGTTCCAATGCACCACTAAATGCACCAAAGTGGTGCATTGGGAAGAGGGCCGAGACCAACCTCTGCACTGTAAGCTTTCTCTCCTCCCCAGAACCAGCTGTCTTTGGTTAAATTCTTCACTATTATCCAGTTCTTTCACTTCATTCCTCCCTTTCTGGGTCTACTGCCGCTCAGACTCTTCTTGCCTGGTTCACCTTGTGGCTGCTGTTACCTGGCTGAAACAGCACCCTAAACTTACTACTCCCTAGCGTCAGCCCTGGTGTGCCTACTGGTTAGTGTGCCCTACATGCGGCGTGCAGGTTTCTTTAGTGATAGGGATCAACGAGGAAGAAAAGTTATTTTCCTTCCTTTTTACTGCTCTCTGTTTCTCTTCTCACTGGCCTCTTTGATTTTCATTAACATTTGTGTTGTGTTTAAAGTACTTGGAGATCCTTGGAGAGAAGTGCAGTTTATTAATAGTCTACATTTCTGCAACCTATTGCAGTACAAGAGATTTTTAGAGTCATGAACAAGTAATGTGCAGTAATATCTTGTTCACAGAAAATAAATCTTTCTAGGGATCAGTTCTGTAGCATGCAATGGGTTACACACTGGGGAAATCAGGAGAAAAAACCAATTTCTTTATAGCAAAGGATATTTGTGTGTTACTTACCTGCCATTGATATGTAGAGATAAACTTAAGTTTTCCATTACACGAGTCTCTCTGGAGCCTATGACATTTATACTTTTAACAGCATCTGGAAAGAACAGTGTGACACAGTCATAAAACTGTGGCTTTAAAAACAAAAACAATTTCTTGTTTTACAGTGAAAGTTTAATTTTTATGCACTTTTCTATCCTGGCTTATTTTAGTCACATCAGTGATATTTATTTATTATTATTTGTTTTTGCTAATAAATAGAATAGCTTCAGATCAACTAGTATGTTTTGTCAGTTATCTTTAAACATTACAACTGATTATTTTTAGGCTTGGAAAGATTAGATTTTTATCGGTAAATGTTGATTTCACCATATACACACAAACCGACAAAAGAAAATTTCCATCAATGACAATTAAAATTCACAGATAGGCAAAGTAAGAAAAGTGCTGCCTGAGAAATTATTAGAGTTTGATTTAGGATATTTACTTAGTATATTTTGACAACGTGATGTTGACAATTTGTGTTTTAACCATTACAAGCATTAGCTTTTTGAATCTCAACATCTACTGTCATTAAATAATTATGGTCTGACCCCACCATTGTCTGTACCTCCTCCCAGTAACTTCCTGCATCTGTAAAAATGTAAATCTTTGAAAATCTAAAAAAATGCTTAACAATAAACGTTAATATTATCTGCTGAAATTATCAAAAAATAAAAATTGAATTCTGCCAAGCCTAATTTCATGCATTTAGGAATTGCCCTTTGCTATGGCCTCTGGGTGCCAAAGCAAACATGAATTAGCCTTATGCAGAGCTAAACAATATAATTAATGTAAATAGAGCCATTACACAATTTTTAAAATAATGATTGTAGGGTTTAAATTTTGCATTTTGATTTTTTTTTAAACAAAGAATGCATTTGACAATTTTCATTTACTCAAAACAAGGTTTTTGATACATGGAAATATTAGGTTTTTGATACATGGAAAGTTTTTTTACTGAATGTTTGTTTTTGAAAACAAATTTTGATGATAATAAAACTGGAAAAGCTCTGTTGTTAAACCATAGGTCTGATACAATACTTTATTAAAGATCTCCCTATTCTGTTTAATTATCATGCTCAACTTATGGTCTAGAAATTACATTATACTACAGCTTGTGCAACAATGCAGGAAGTTCTGTTTTGTGCATCCAACGCCATTTATAATTACCCAGCAACTCCAATTCGGTGGTGAAATCTCCCGTTTTCTGCACAATCTTTCTTTCATGGGTGGCACTCTCAATTTGCTCCCATTCAGCTACAACTTTGAGATGTACCTTGCAATTCCCCACCGTAGAATAATTATAGTAGACGAAGGGTTCTTCAGTTACCAGCTGAGTTCTATGGGTAGCATGAAAAGATTTAGAATCAGCATCACCTCTGGTCAGAAACTGCTTGCACTGAATGTTTTAGATACATGAAGGTCTGAGTCTTCTTTGTTACACCAATGTAAATCAGGACTAATTCCCCAGAAGTTCATGGAGTTATACTGATGTCAAACTGGTGAAAGTGAGATCAGAATTAGGCCCACCAGGATGCTTTTCTTACTTTGTTTAAGTTTTTCAAGGAAAACAATGACACAATCATCCCTAAATATCATTCATGGGTCAGAATTAGAACGGGTGGTAATGATCTAATATTTCTTTTATTACAGTCAGTAAAGCAGGGGTGCCACAGGCAAACTAAATTCTTTAGTAAAATAATATGGACCACTATTTAAAAAAATCAAACCTGAAATGTACACACACAGACATTCATGCCAGGAGTGCTTATGCACTCATCCAATCAGAGAATAGAAACAGTACTCTGTGACTATCTAAGGTATTTATAGATGGCCAGTCATTGTAATATCTAGACACTGTTCAATATCAACCAAGGAAAAGAATACAATCAATTCTTCAAATTTATTTAAAAATACACTTGAGAAAATTGCAATCTGCTCATGGAGATTCTGTAAGCAGAAAAACATGCTCAAAATCATTAAATATATTATTTACTATGAATTATTTGTTCAGCTCTATGTATTTGCATTAGCAAACCCTCTCTAACTAAACATGGACTTTAACCTAAAAACCTGGATCTCAACATCCCTGCATTTTGGGGAAGCTCAGCACACATCAGCATCTAAGTAGCATAATGAAACTTGGAGACAGACCCTAGGCCAAAGCTTACATTTTTAACTGTTTGTGAGTTCCTAGACTATCTGAACATTGTGAGCGTAGGAGTGTGTTACACATCCTTACCAGAAGCATCCAGAGCCTTTCCATAAATAAACAAACAACTGGACATACCCATCTCCAAAATCCCAGTTGTAGATGAATGATGCCGACTTGAAATAATTACTCGGATCATGACGAAAGAAAGAAATCAGGGTCAGAGAGTCGGTGGCAGAACTAGAACCTTGTTCGACAAATGTTCTGTTGTCTTCTATTTGTGCAATGGTAAGATTCCCTACTATAAACTCTGCAGAAGAAGATGATAAATGAAGAATAATGAGACTATATTTCACTTTCATAGCATTACCTACAAATCTCAAAGCCCCATTTAAACATTAATTCTTTTAATCTCTCAACATCCCTGTGAGGGTGGGTAAGCATTTTTATATCTATTTCACAGATTGGTAAATTTAGGTAGAGAGATTAAATGATTTACGCAAGGTCACACAGCCTGCAATAGAATCCAAGGGGGGAAATCTTGGTCCTATATAAGTCCAGAAAAGTTTTGCCATTGACTTCAATGGGGTAATGATTCCACTCCAGGAGTCCTGACTCCCTGTCCCTTGATCTAACCAATACACACTCTCTCTAAAACAAAGTACACCTCTACTTTGATATAACATTGTCCTCTGGAGCCAAAAAAATCTTACCGCATTATAAGTGAAACCGCGTTATATCGAACTTGCTTTGATCTGCTGGAGTGCGCAGCCCAGCCCCCTCCGGAGCATTGCTTTACCGCGTTATATCAGAATTCGTGTTATATCGGGTCGCGTTATATCGGGGTAGAGGTGTATAGGACAAGAATTTTTTTACTATTGTGAATGACTGACATGCTATACACAATCCTATAATGATTTAAAATACAGTTATACAATGTAAAGCGATTCCGTGCAAACAGCATAGTGAAGTTCGAAATTTCATGTCTTTCAGTGATGATATCCTCATATTTGCTTGGTTTATAGCAGGGGTTGGCAACCTGCGGCACGCGTGCCAAAGGCAGCACACGGGCTGATTTTTAGTGGCACGCTGCTGCCAGCCGGGGTCCTGGCCACCGGCCCCGCTCAGCCCGCTGCCGGCCAGGGTTCCGTCCATCCAGGCCAGCAGCGGGATGAGCGGGGTCGGCGGCCGGGACCCCAGACCGGCAGCAGGATGACCCGCTCAGCCTGCTGCCAGTCTGGTGTCTCGGCTGCCGGCCCCTGGCTAGCCGGGGTCCCGGCCGCCGGCCCCGTTCAGCCTGCTGCCGGCCTGGCACGCAAAACCTTTTATTGGCATGCAAAACCTTAAATTAATGAAGACTTGGCATACCACTTCTCAAAGGTTGCCGACCCCTGGTTTATAGGCTGAAAGATAGTCTAGGGATGTGTATATTGCATTAAAAAACCTGCAGCTGGCCTGTGCAAGCTGACTCAGGCTGATGGGTCTTGGGTTTGCGAAGCTGTTTAATTTCAGTGTAGACATTTGGGCTTGGACTGCAGCCCGAGCTCTGGGACCCTCCTAGGGTTGCCAATTTTGGTTGGATGTATTCCTGGAGATTTCATCACATGGCATAATCTTTAATTAAAGATTAATCTTTAATACCTGGAGACTCCAGGCCAATCCTGGAGGGTTGGCAACCATACTCCCACCTCATAGGGTCCTAGAGTTTGGGCTCCAGCCTGAGCCCACATGTCTACACTGCCATTAAGCAGCCCTGTGACCCTGAGTCAGGTGGCACGGGCCAGCCCTGGGTTTTTAACTGCAGTGTAGACGTATCCATAATGGCCAGCATTGTGAGTGCAACCTGTGATATAAGAAATTGGGCTGGGATCTCTCTAGATCGTCCATGATCATGATGATCAGATTCCAAGGGATAAGCTCATTATAGATAACTAGACAGGTTAGACAGATCACCTGTAACATAGATTCTGCTATCCAGTGGCAGATTAGCCATTGAGCCAATTGGGTCGTGTCCAGGGGCCCTGGCCAATTGGGGCGCTCCTAGGCTTCACATGCCTGGTGCTCTGAGCGGGGTTGGGGTGTGGGGGCTTGCCCCACTCACTCCACCCACCCGGCACTCCTGCCGGGGAACAGGGTTGGGGCCCCCACTTGCTCTGACCCAGGGCCCCACAACCCCTAATCCGCCTCTGCTGCTATCTTGTTAACAAATCTCTCGCTCGGCAAACGAAGCTAGAATGAAACTCACGCTTTCAGACTGGGACTGACTCTGCAGAACTAACTGGAGACAAAACTAAACAGACTTATTTTTTATATTGAAGCTTTTCCTTGGGCCCTGCAAAGCCAGTGCTTGGGGGCCTGCTTGCTTGGGGAAACTAGGAAGGTAAAGGCGAATCTTAGCTTTCATAGGTTAAAAAGTTTCTCTTCCTTTTCCTTGTGAAGATAGCCTTGAAAACATAAGCCAATGGAAACTGAGCACTGAGATTGAAAGGAATAGAATAAGCAGATAGGCTCTGCTTTGGCAGTAAGAGGCAGGAGAGGATTGAAAGATCCTGTGCGCACACTCAAACTCATTGGGTAAGATGGCTTGGTTAAGTTTGAGGTGTTTCTCAAAGAATGATCTCATTAACCCTCCCCCAAATTTGCAGCTGTTCCCCGTGGCTAGTACTCTGATCCTGATGGACAAGAATCGGTTAAGTTTAGGGATGATGGAGAAAATCCTTTCACAGGCCCACCCAACAATCCTGAGGATGGGTCCACTGGACAGTAAAATCAGATCATGTGACTCTAAATAGCCACATGATCAGATCTGTTGAATGTGTAAGCTCTTTGGGGCAGGGACTGTCGTCTGTTCTCTGTACAATGCCTCGCATAATGGTCCATGACTGGCTCTTAGATGCTACGATAATACAAATAATAATAACAGAGGTGCTATTTTACATAGTCCCACTTGTGACAGTAGCCACGCCTTGAACTGTGCTCCAGCTACAGTTATTCAAAATACTTTTACACAAAGTATAATAGCTCTACCATGCCGATGGCCTCATGGTATTCCTACTTCAGTCATGTCTTGTGCACAATTCGGATGTGACTGATATAAGGGGAAACTTGTAGATTGCGGCTGCTGGAGGTCAACTCAAGTTTGGAACTAGATATGCTGAGCTAGTGTGACAGCAACAATCTGCATCTTCAGGAATCTAGATTTCACAGAACAAAAAGGGCCTGATCCATACCAGGCTCGCTCTAGCTTTTGTGAGGTACAACTAGCAGAAACGTGAAGTAAAACTGCTCAAACATCAGGTTTCTAGCACGGTTTCCTTGAGCAGTGGGCACAGGGATTTTTTTTGCAATTGAGCACGTTATTGATTTTCTATCTTAGGTAGTCTACAGCATGGTCTGGTGACCACTGTTCATGGCAAAAAATATCTCTGTCCACCTGTCAAAGAAACTGTTCTAGAACCCTGCTAGTAGAAGCCATGTTAAACATGGTTGTAGCTAGCACCGTTCTGAATCCCAGAATACGCAGCGCCTATCTCAGTGGAATGTGTGAAGACTTGAACGAGCTGTTCAAAGATATTTTACCTGTAACATGAAGCATTGTGAAGCTTTTGGCGATGGGCTGACATAACCAACAGTGTGTCTCAGTTGCCCAGACAGAAATGGGAAAGTCTCCAGAAAATTCACCAGTCACGGTAATCATAGAGTTAAATCGCTGCTCTGATTTCTCAATCAAAGTCAGAGGGGTGAAAATCCAGTTAAAATGATAGGACTTTAGGTCACTAATGAATGCAACATCATCATTCTTCATACTCAAGCTGGCATGAATTGTAGCTTGAGCTCCCGTTGTGATGGGACCATTGTTGTTGATTTGCAGAACATACTGCACTGTAAAATCAGAAAACAAAAGTCATTGTGTTTATATATATTCTCCCTGTGATCAAACATGTGAAAAAAGTATTAACATGCTGTAATTATGTGGGTTTAGCGCCTGATGGCACTAAACGCAGTCAAGCCTCTGAACAGGCACTGCACCTTGGTATTTAAAAATATATGTATAAACATTACTCTCCTCTCTAGCTCCATGACTAGTTATATGTTATTTAGAATTAAAATAATTCACAATGAAAAACACACATTTCCATAGGAATGGGTCCTGGAAATGTTAAAAAATAGAAAGAGACCCAAACCAAATTGCTAGATCAGTATTCCCACAGAACTTTGAGGAAGTTAGATCCAGATTTGGACCTTGCAGTTGCTTAAATAAAAGTGTATACGCAGAGAAGGAGCAAAACATATCTGTGAAGTAATAAACCCTCCCCAGCTTTGTTTGACTTCTGAAATGTTACAAGCTAAAACAAATCCTTCCTGATAAGGGTCTGTTCCAAGATGTGCAAACTCCTTCCATTTTAGCATTATTTTTCTCTTTCTATGTCACCATGTACAAGCCTGAACACACTTTTTTCACCAACTTTGTATGGTGGGGGGAAAAAAAACCTTTGTGTAGTTAAGAGAAAGATTCTGTGCAGAGGAAAATGCAGGCTTCAGAGATCACCTGGGCCAAGCTCCCTTAAAGTAGTTTATAATTTTAAAGTATAGGGGCAAATTCAGTGCTGGTGGAAGCAGGCACAAACTTGGGCCAGATTTTTAAAGGTACTTGGGCACCTAAAAATGCAGTTAGGTGCCTAGCAGGAGTAAGTGCCTAGTGGCTGACTCCCATTGAAATCAATTGGAATTAGGCATCTAGGTGATTAGGAAAATTCCACTAGTTCCACAAGTACCTCTGTACGTGCATTAAAATTGTTGGTGTTTCAGCCTCTTATCGCCAGGGCAGAATTTGTCTTATGAAAATAGGTGTGATGATTTGGTCTTGGGAAGACATTACAGAGCCAGTCTCTGCATTTGAAACAAGACCAGTTTTACTTTAAGCCTACAAAAATAACAGGCATTATTCCATTGTGGCTTTTTCAATGCAAGCCAGAAACCGAAGCACGCACGTTATATGGACATGCCAACTCTTGCGAGTTTATTGTGAGAGATGCGATCGCTAAGTAAAATGAAGCCTCGCTCATGATCTTGTGATAGAACTCTCAAATCTCAGGATTGTTTTTCTACCCTGGCTGGGTGGGGCTCCCGCTGTCAGCCCTGGGCGGCTGGGGTGCCCGTTGACAGCCCTGGGCAGCTGTTCCCCTGGCAGCCTGGAAAGTGGGAGAGGGGACCCTACTGCAGCCCCCCGAGGCCTGGGACGGGTGAAGAGGAGCAGAGGTGAGACTAGGAAGGCTGAACTATGGCCAGAGGGCAGCAGGAGGGCTGACATGAGGAGGTGAGGGCTGATAGGGTGGAGGTCTGTATTGACGGTGGGTTCTGAGCAGATGGGGTGAGTGCTGGGAGGCTGAACTGAGGGTGTTGGGAGTCAATGGGGCAGGGGGGCTGAACTGATGGGGTGGTGATAATGGGGACTGGGGAAGTGAAGTGAGGGGGACTGAAATTGGTGGGGTTGGGTGGGGAGAGAACTGATGGTGGACTGGGGGGCAGGATTAAGTGCTGGGCAGGTGATGGGGGTGAGAGCTCTTGCAATTGGGGCCAAAATCAACTTATCTGGCACAGGTGGGAGAGTGGGAAATTGTCAAATGCACATGCCCTGGGGATGGGCAGGGGGAGTTCAAAAATCAAGAGACTGACCAAAACAACACAATAAAATCTTCTTTAAAATGTCACAATTTTGGGGGCCAATCTCATGATTTTTGAGGGTCCAACTCATGATTTTTGATCTCTTGATGTTGGCAATACTGTACAAGTTAAAATCATAGAACTTCACCCAGGGAATCCCTTTCCCCAACTGTATTCACTCTTCCTGCTAGTGTTGGATCAGGCTTTTGTAGCCACAACTCCATTTCCTCCACTCACCTGCTTCATTTAAAAAAAAAATAATGAAATAAAAAGACCACAACTTCAATGCAAAGAATAAATTTTGTGTGAGCAGATCTGATGCTGTTCTGCAGAACTCATCTTTATAAATAGAGTCATTGCTAGCTACACCCTTCACTTAATCAATGTTCCACAAGCACGGTTTTGGCCTGAAGAGGTGTCCCCAAAACCAGGTACGTGTTACAGGTTTAATCCCCTTATTTCCTTATTAAACCCAAGAAAAATATAGGTTTTTCCTTTAGCCTCCATTACAAACCTTTCCTTTCTCTACTTCTCTCAGCCTGGGAAAGAACCAGTCTAGGGCCCTAATTTAAAGGAAACATCCACAGCCTAAATTGCATATGCTAGTGAAGGTTGGCCCTGTATTCAAGGGCAATGAGAAAGGGGGGCAAAAAACTCCAAGCCCTTGTGAAATGGCTGGGAGTAGAAAGAAACATGGTGGTGCAAAACTGGAAAAACTCAACTCCTTCCTGATGCAGGTGACCTTTTAAAAACCTAGACGGAGAGAGATGTCTCCTATTTCTCTATGCAAATTAGACTTAGCTCACTGTCTATTTTGCTGAAGCACAGCTGGAGGAAAATAGCAGAAATCAGTGGAGGATATCAAAAAGAAACTGGGGAGGGGTCTTATTGAAGTATGATAACTGAGAGAGGGGGGGTCAAGTGACTAGCTCAAGGTCACACAATGCCTAAGTGGCAGAGTGGAGTATTTAACCCAGCTCTCCTGACTCACTTCTCCTCATACCATTTGATGTAAGATGCAACACAGCTATGCTATGAAGGAGCAAAGGGAGAGGCGGGCTGTCTTAGTCATTTGTGACTCACTGGGTGCAACAGCAGTGAGGGAGCAGAGATGTTTTACTGCATCCCAATTAGGAAGGAAATCTAGAAGGGGGCTGATAGACTCATTCTTGTCCTCCCAGATTTGCCAAGCCTCACCATGAAGAGCTGAATGAGGTGTATGGACTAAAAAAGGGGCAGAAGTAGCTGCCCCTCCATTTTATTCTGTAAGAGAACTTGCTCATTATTGCCAGCTCCCTACTGGGAAGGTGTCCCTTGGGGGTGCAACTCCCTTCACACCTGCTCCAGCTATTCAAGCAGGATGAATGAATACACAATCCACTGCAGAACAGGAAAACAAAAAGTCATCCTTATAAATAACCAGTGTTTAACCACATCTCCTTCAGTTTCAGAGTAGGGTTTTATCACTCTTCAGGGAAACAGAAACCTAGCACTGCAGAAATTAGCAATGGGAAAAAGATCTCTCATCTAATCTGTTCCCCTGCAAATGCAGGACTGTTTCCATATGTAGGATAAATATGATACTGCAAACCTTGCTGCAAATGCAGAATAGAGCATTTATTTTCATGCAAACGCTAGAAATGCTCAGTCGCTTCTGAGCTTGCCTGGAAATAAATGCTCATTCTGTGTTTACAGCAGCATAAGATTGCTTTTCAGGACTGCTTCTAATGACCCCTGGCTCATTAGCCCTGTATTGAGAAAGGAGCAGATCTACCTTACCTGCTGCTGACTTGAAATGGAAAAGGAACAGCACCATGCAAGGCACTTGGAGGATGCTCGGGGTGAAAAATACCAGGGCCATTTGTAGTCGGTGTGCCAAGAGAAAGCTGCTGCTGTCTGTTCAGCTCCGATAGCCAGACTTCATCTTCCAAATGGGCTCCAATTTGTCTTTATGCTGGGGAGGAGATGGGGAGCAAGCAGCCACTGCTGCTGTCACCTAGAGGCAATGTGGGGTACTGCGCTGTCTGGTTTTTTGTTTTGTTTTTTATTTTCTCTGTACACTGTTTAGCCGGCAAATCCTGGCTACCTAACCAATTTAGAAAAGTTATTAGGTTTTGTTACAGGCATATTAGACACCTGTATAAACCAATGGATTAGAAAAATGAGGCAGAGAAAATCCCTATCTGGGGTGCTAATGAAAAGCTCCTAGAATGGTAAGAATTTTGAAAATAAAAATCAGTTTTCTGGTAATAGAATAAATGTATTTTGGTATATTTGGCGATGTGCATCTTGCAGAATTTTGCATAAAACACTATAAAAATCTACAATAGACTGACCTGTGCAGAGCTTAAAATCCCATTAGAAAACAGGTGAAGTACTCTGCCTATCTCCTGTATCATATTCCTGATGGTAGAGGAAAAAAATGCCACCTTAAAAAAATCTTCCCAAAACAGATGAGTGATGAATTTTTATGTGTCATACAGCTAATAATACAATACAAAGCAATAACATTTTAGGCCCCAATCCTGCAAGCCCATAACTCCTTGCGTGTAAGTAGATTCATTGAATTGACTGGGACTACTCCCATGCATAGTTACAAACACATAAGTAACAGGTTTCAGAGTAGCAGCCGTGTTAGTCTGTATCCGCTAAAAGAACAGGAGTACTTCTGGCGCCTTAGAGACTAAGAAGTGGGCAGTAGCCCACGAAAGCTTATGCTCTAATAAATTTGTTAGTCTCTAAGGTGCCACAAGTACTCCTGTTCTTTTTGCAAACACATAAGTGTTTGCAGGATAGGACCTTATTTTGTATTAGCTCTTTCATACAAACTGGATGACACTAGGGTTTTGGAGAATCGTGGCAGCCTGGGTAAGATGAGTTACTTTTAATAAAAAATATTTTATTGTAAAATAGTCCAAAGCATAGAATGAGAGAGATGAGCTCAGTACAAAATATATCCCGTTTATTATTAACTGATTGTTTCTTGCAGTACAGCTTGGTAACTTTGGATGACACTTCTATAGTTTGTCATGCAAATAAAGTTTCTGAATGTGACTACTATCTGGGGAATCGTCTCCCGCAACCCACTTTCCAACATTTATACTCTATTCCCTTCTATTTTCTATTCTATACTTTGCTCATCACCATTGTAATCAAGTGCCACTGAATCAGTATAGCTGACTTTTCAAAAGAAACCATTGAGCAGAAACAAGTTTTGCCTCCTTAGCTAGGGTAGTTGCTGAAGTTTTTGCTTTCATTCAAATCCAGTTATTTGGTCCAGCCCAGTTCTATGGAAGAATATATACCTCAGCACTTCACACAAAGAGTGGGGTGGGATAAAAATCATTATACCCATTATAGACCAACAGGGTTTCACAGTAGTTGAGTTTCTGCACGCCCTGTGTCCATGCTTAATTCAGCAGCGGGCTGTCAGCTTATCTTCCCTCTCCTTTCGGCTCACGTTTTTAGTGGGGAAAGCATATTGGTTTCCGATCCTTTGAAGCATCTTTCTTCTACATCTAGGTATTTAGAGCAGGGGCGAACAAAGCGCCTTTCGTTTTTAACCTCGCCTCTGTCTCGTTTCTGTCCCGCAGTCTTGAGTGCCTGTGTTTTCCAGCTGAAGCTGTCGCTTTAACAGCAGGGCGGATCCTCTGCGGGAGGGGCGGCTCTGCCCAGGAGGTCATGGTGGGCCTGCTGCTGGGAACTGACAAGCGCCGCAGCTTCCGAGGGTAAATACCGGGGCATGCTGACTAGACAAGCCCAGGGGGGAGTTGGGGGGTGCCGCTGATGCTTTAACCCGCAGCGTGCCTGGGGCCTGGTGGGCACCGCGCCTGCATGGGGGGCAAGCGGCTGCTCCGCGCCACCGCCAGCGGGTGGCCGGAGGGATTTGGCTGGGCTGGAAGCCCTGCGCCTGGTTCTCGCCTGTCGCGCGGGGGTTAGGAGGCCGGTGTAGCGGCTCTATGTGCCTGGCCGGGGGCACCGACGCTGCGGGGATGGGGAGCCCCGCGCCCCCCCAGTGTCGGCCGGACCAGGGGCCGACCGGGGGGGGGGGCTGGAGAGATGCGGGGCAGCGATGCGCAGGAGGAGGCGGGGAGCGAAGCCGTTTGCAAGCGGCGGCGGCCGGAACTGAACTTCGGCAGCTTCCGTCGTGCGCTGGGTGCCCATGCGCCGCGCCCGGCTGCGGGCTCAGGCTGGAGGCGACAAAGGAGGGACTCGCGCGAGTTGGGGGCCGGGGCGGGCCGGTAAAGCCAGGGGCGGGCCGCGGCGGCAGCCCGGGGACAGAGCAGACGCGGGGGAGGTATTGCCCGGCCGGGGACTAGGCCCGGGGGGAGCCTGGGGCCGGGGTAGAGCCTGGGGCCGAGTAGTCGCGTCCCGCAGAGGCCCTGTCGTGGGGGCGCGGGGGGAGAGGCCCGGCAGTGTGTGAGGGGGAAGGGATCTGGCGCTTGGGGGAGGTGGAGAAGAGACCCTGCTCTAATGAGGGGGGGCAGGGATCTGGCGCGGGGGGGGGAGTGCCTGCCTTGCTGGGGGCAGGCATCTGTCAGTGGGGGGTTTGAAGGCCCTACCGGGGTGGGGGCAGGGATCTGGAGGGGGGGGGGGGGCAGTCCTAGCTCTGGTGGGGCTGAGGGATCTGAGGATGGAGGGAGGGTCAGGAGCTCTGGCCTGAAGGGTTGGTAAGATGGCACAGATGTCAAGGTCTTTGACCTGAGAGGAAATGGGGGCTGGTAGAAGGAGCTGGATGCAATATCGCTTTTGTGCATGTTTTTAAAATCCATAACCGGATTCACACAATTACAGGGTCAGAACATTGGCTGGAATGGGGTCAGCATAGATGGAGTCCAATCAAAGAGAAGGTGCCCCCCTCAGTCAGGAGAGCGCCACCGAGACAGAGAAGGTAAGGGTAGAGAGGAGCTGAGACTTCTAGGTTGTATTTCCAGTGCTGTCATGAGCTGCCTTCCCGTTTGGGCAAATCACAGAACCTCTCTGTTCCTGGGGGCTTCCTTATTTTTAAAATGGGTAGACCAATTCTCAAAACTTTACAGGTGTTTTGTGACATTTAATCAATATTTGCGAAGAGATTAAGATGAAAGGCAATGTAAAAGTGCAGTGTGTTTTTATTGAAACATAGATTGATCTAAAAGCTAAACCAAATTAAGAGGTCAGATGTGACAGAAAGTTAGCATGGATTGTGAAATGAGGTCAGCAGTAAAACTCTGTGACAGACAATGAAAACTAAAACCAACTGAAACTCTACTGCTTTCAAGTTTTATTACATATTGAAAACTCAGATCTTGTTTGTGGAAAAGCTTGATTCAGGTACCCTCAACTTTGTTGAGAGGTACTTAAAAGGACATTATCAACTTGAAATCCAGTCAAGTTAAAGAATGCTGTTAAAAGAAGTTTATGTTGTGCTCCCACCTATGTTCCACTGTATTTTCCTAATCTTTTAAAACCTTTCTCTCCCCTATTGCCATTTGATAGACCCACAGAAACAAGAGAGAAAACTGACTATATGCAATTCTGTAAAAGACCCAGTAACAACTTTCTCTGATTTTTTTTTTTCAGTTAAATGTTATCAGTTGCAGTTGTAGGCTTAAATACATATAACAAATATGATTTTTAAATTGATGGTGCCCCTTTAAAATAATATCATAGGAATAAATCTAGATGATGGTGTATCCACCAGTAAGTTGTCCTACTTACAATGTTGTTTTTTGTAGGTGGACTGATTTTTTTTTCTTTTCTTTTTCTTTTCTTTCCAGTTTTTTAATAAACTCTAATCTGGTCCAAAAGAAAAATGGCCTTTGTTTCGACACAAGGGCCCACTGTGGTTGACCAAACCACTTTGATGAAGAAATACCTCCAGTTTGTGGCTGCTCTAACAGATGTTAATACACGTAAGTTTATTTTTTATTTATTAGAAATAAATTTTTCGTTACTCATTTGCTTCAGGGAGTTCTGTAATATTGTCTATTGAGTTGGTTGGTAAACTTACATGGGGTTCGCTTTGCATTTCCTTTGATCCTTGATGTTTGAAGAAGCAAAATGATGAGCATTATTTACTTGAGCCTTAGAGAAGTGTGTGAGTATGAAGTGTGAGTATGAAATTGTGTGATTGTGAGAAATGTGTCCCTTTCAACTGGGCAGTGATGGCTAAACTGATAAGATCTGATTGCTTCTTTCACCTGTGAATGTTTGATGGTATTTGTCAGGCTTTTTTCACATATTTAATTATTCACGTGACTTTGCCATTTTTTTTTCCAGCCGATGAAACAAAATTGAAAATGATGCAAGAAGTCAGTGAGAATTTTGAGGTAATTACAAAATAAACATACTTCTTGAATGATTTAAATGCAATATTTCTTGTTCTTGGTGTGTATGCAATCTGGATTTCTGCTCTTGTTTTGTTTGTTGTTAAATTCAAACATATACTAATTATTAAGTAAACAGCCATTACGCATTGGTTCTGTGTTTAAGTAAGAAAAGACTTATTTCATTTTTAGAATGCATTACATGTCTCACTTCAGAGTTATTGGAGAACTATAGGCTGTGTCCTTACAGGATTTCTCTTTCTCAAATAATTGTTTTAAGAGAAAATCTTTGTTCAGTAAGTAAGTTTTGAATAAAGAAACTAATCAAAATATATTTGAATTTTACCTCTCCAGTGTTTACTGCATAACCTGATAAATTTGTCTGGGGAATTGTTTCTCTAACTGAGTTCAGGTGTACATTTAGCTCTCTTGAAGTAGCGGGCTGCATTTTTTTGTATTGAGATATGCAGCAGTTTTAGAGGTGAGGGTGAGTTGTCAAGTGGGGATTCCTTCCTTGAGGACTGCAATGAAGTGGAAGTGACAGCACTGACCCTTTTCAATTCTCGGGGCCGGTTCAGCTGAGCAGGAGAAAATAATTTATATATAGTATGTTCATCTGGGATGCATAAGAGGTACCATGTAGAAATATTAGCTGCTAGGTTTGCATTTCTTGCTCAAGAAATGACACCATTGTATTATATTACACTAAAATCTGAATTATTTAGAAGTACTGAATTCTAGGTACATTAGCCAAATATAATTTAATCTGGAACATTTGGGCAAGAATATCCACATTAATGAAAAATGCCACATGATGTTTAATGACCAGTGCTGAGGACCTCTGTTCTATGTCTTGCCCAAAGGTACATCCTGCAGGATGTACATCTCTGACCTTGCTATTGAATGAATTGCTGCTCCACTTCCTCTTGCCCCTGGGTTATCCATGGAAATTTCTCATCCAAGTACTGATGTGACCTAACGCTGCTTAACCTAAGGGCATGCAACTCAAGCTAATATAGCTCCACCATAGAGAAGCTAGTATTAATTACAAAAAAGCCAAATATTGAAAGCATTTAGGCCAGGGGTCGGCAGCCTTTCAGAAGTGGTGTGCCAAATCTTCATTTATTCACTCTAATTTCAAAAACCTGAAAAGCTCTGTTAATAAACCATAGGACTGATACAGTACTTTAATAAAGATCTCCATATTCTGTTTAATTATCATGCTCAACTTATGGTCTAGAACAGGGGTCGGCAACCTTTCAGAAGTGGTGTGCTGAGTCTTCATTTAGTCACTCTGATTTAAGGTTTCGCGTGCCAGTAATAAATTTTAATGTTTTTAGGAGGCCTGTTTCTAGAAGTCTATAATATATAACTAAACTATTGTTGTATGTAAAGTAAATAAGGTTTTTAAAATGTTTAAGAAGCTTCATTTAAAATTAAATTAAAAATGCAGAGCCCCCCCGGATCAGTGACCAGGACCCGGGTAGTGTGAGTGTCATTGAAAATCAGTTTGTGTGCTGCCTTTGGCACATGTGCCATAGGTTGCCTACCCCTGATTTAGGGAATACTTCTTTACCTGAATACATGTATTTATTGCCTATGCAACTCTGACATCCGTGGCAATCTTTCCTCTCAGTCTCTTGCAAGTATGTGTCGGATGAATTTGGAGTGTCATTCTTCAAAAATTGTTGCAGGAAGGGAGAATGTTTGTTTTTCTCTTCTCCCTGTTCCAGAACTTCCTGGCTGCTGCAAAGTTGGGAGAGAGCTAAGAGATCTTGAGTATATTCCCATCCTGTTTTTGAGCCTGTCTCTCCTGAGTTGCTCCAGTGTCTGCTTCTGCTGCTGCTCATATCTTTTGTGAATTAGTGGGAGTCTGACAATGACTAGATTCTTGAGAGTTTTGCCCTAAAAGGCCCTGAAGAGCAATTCTGAAATTGACCAGAGTCCTGTTAATTTCACTTTTATGCTTCTTAGCGAAGATACATGGGAAGAAGTCTTCATAAAGCAGGAGTGAGACCTGTGGATGTGTGGTAGCTTTTGCTTCTTGCACTGGTTGGTGAAGTCAGTGAGCATCATGGATTTCATGCCTTTTCAGAAGTGTTGAAGGGTGTCTTCTCTTCTCTGATCCCCTCAGCAGGTGGGGGG